ATTTGATACCTACTTTTTCTGTCATGCACATTTTCTTTTTACAGCGCATCCTTTTCACAAAGAAAAAAACAAAGGGGCAAATAAATATATGTATTATTTAAGCAAGCCATTATTATCTTTAAGAAAAAGCAAACAAACAAAACATTTTAAATGGTTTTTCATTATCTGGATGTCAATATTGCCAATGATTTCCACTGTTGGTTGAATTTTACAGATAGCCGTGGTTTCTGAGAACTGTCCAATAGACAAGAAGTTCTGCATGAACCAGGAAAATTTGAAGTCTGGGCTTAATCCTGTATTCCCTTTGACTTTCTTCACAGGACTGTGGAACTCATGGAAGGCAAGAGCTTTAAAAAACTAAGAGTTTTCCAAAATACATTAGTCTGGAGTTAACAAAGAGAATAAGCCTAAAGGACCTAAAGAACATCAAAATCCTTTTTTGTGCTTCAAAACACTCTATGAATAACCTGAGTATTTAAAAATCAAGTCGTATTTGGAAATCTACATGGCATTCATAAAATGCCAGGTGTCCAAAAATCACAGACAACTTCTGAGAATATGGACTTTTAAATGCAGGTCCTTAAATCCTTTTCAAATCACATCTCAAAAGAAACTCACCTCAGTATTCAGAAATTTAGGAAAATGGAAAATGATCATAAAAAATTTGTCTTACTTTTGAGCATTTGCAAAATGAGAAGAAACACATTAGAAAACAGAAAACAAATTATCTCGTTCATACAGCTTTCAAAGCAGGTCAGCACTAAATAGAGGACTGCATTCTGTGTGAAGCATTCCAGCATGGACTGAAAATAGGAGTAAATAAATAATACCAAAAATACATTAAAAGTTTGATTTTTTTTTTCCAGAATTGATCTAATAATTTGGAATAAATATGCACTACAGAAGTTGTTTTCTAACTTCCCAAGTGACAAAACAACTTGGGACAGTACTGACTAAAATTATTGTATGACTCTTCTTTTTCTTTACTGCATTTTAGAATTTAGTAGAATTCAGTATCAAGCTAAATCTAACACACATTTATGATAGGATCAAGGAAATAATTGACTTGCTAGATTTTTTCTTTACAGTTGCCTTCAATTGTATGGGTGATCACAAATGGAATTTACTCTATTGGAGTTCTGACTAGAAAACTGAATTTTTTGGAAGAAGATAGAAAAAGACATTTTTTCCCTTCACTTCACTTGTATTCTAACATTTCCTAGAAACCTGTTTTTGTGTTTACAATCTCAGTGATGTCAGCATAATAAAAGGAAGAGTTAGATATATCATATTTTCCACAATATATTTTTACATCACTATATAATTTTTGTCATGGATCTTTCTTAGCAAAAAAGAATTAATTCATTTCACTGATCACAGCATCATGTTTTGATTATATCCTATTTAACAGCAAGTCATTATCTTATTGCCAACCTAAGATCACTGTGACAGTCAGGTCAAATGAGGATTTTGGAGATCTGAGGTACATAAAAAGTTGTAAATACTGTTTTTCAGAGACACATATGAATAAGTAAACCAAAACACAATTTTCAGATAATACTAAACACATATCACTGTATGTCAGATCCATCCAAAAGTGACTCCATGGATTGAATAGACTTGCACCTGCTTACCCTGGAATAAAGTTTAGCTCAGGACATCAATTAGAGTAGACAGAGCTGATGTTCAGCTATGCTAATGATGAAATTAAATGCTGAGAATCACTCCATTTTTTAACTGAATGAGCCATATACTGCCCTTGGTTACATTCCCAGGCCTCAGATAACATGAGTATAATTGAAAGTAGTTTTGGTTCAATATTTCTTGTATTTTAGAAGCTATGGAGCAATCAAGCAATATGACCTTTTAGTGGTCCACCAAAGAATCAAGTTCTGCTCTGTGTGGCATCCAGACTAATCAATATCCTATTATGATCACAGCCTGGTTTTTTTTCTTACAACTGAGACACAGTGGGAATAGCTTGGAGAAAACATTTCTCCCTGTAACAGCTGAAATCTGGTAGATTCACAAATTATTAGATTGTTAAATCTATGCTTCTCAATAAAATGACATGGATGTTTGAGCTCTATTGTACAATATGGTACAAACACACCCAAGCTTAACTCATTCAAGAGCTCCTCATTAAGCCAAATCTCCAAACAACATCCACAAAAACATTCCAAGAGTTTAGAATGCTACATCAGTCCATATACATAAATAAGTATATAAAAACAACAAGCTCAGATTAACTTGTCAGGTACAGTAGGGGTTTAACAATCAGAAGCACGGGATAAAGTCAATATTGGTACAAGGTCTAATTTTTCTCTTGGACGACAGAAGACAGAATTGACTGAAGAAAATTTGAACCCTGCAGGGAGCCCATGACTTCCCATGATTCAGGAAATCATCTATTGGTTTTAAGCACAGAGGTGACTGATAGCATCCTTGACTTGCAGAAATATGGGGTCAAATCCTGCCATTGAAGTCAATGGCATCTCTCCAGCTCTCCTCAGAATGGTCAGACTTCCACTGGTGAGATCAGTGAAAAATATGGACATGAGCATACATATTGACAAGCAGAAAGAACTAGGCCTGTTCCTGTTTTTGTAAGATCATGTTGGAAGAAGCAAAGCCAATCTATCTCCATGTTCCCTCAGTTATATTTTAAATTAGAAATAAGAAGGAAAAAGCACAAACCCTACTCAAGGTACATTTTCCCTTCATAATAGGTTTCATTTTCTTAAGGCAAAATAGCCACAGCCCTGTATATTAAAATCATTAATGAACTAAAGTCAGGTCATAGCTGTCCTTTTAAGATGAGCATTTCTGAAGAATAAATTTAGTGAACTTGTAGGTCAGAATAACAAGCAGTTTGACTTGTTCTCATTCATCTCCCTGTAAGGCTTGTGTGTATGTGTATTACTGCTTAAAAATATTACAGTGGCCATCATGGCAACAGTGGGAAGAAGGATAAAAATGCTCTACTCCTCAAGTGCAGATGTTGTTTTGCAGTGTGATGGGGATATGGGTGGGTGTCCTTCAGTGATGCATTCCTGTTGGATCATGGTGCCAGAGGGGGTTGGCCAGAAGGAAGCTCCAGCCTGTGGCAGCTACAACAAAGCCATTGCTGTCATGGGTAAACTGCATCTTCTCTTGGCAGGTGTGTTTCGTGTTGCCCTTGTTACCTATGCTCAGGGTGATGGATAAATCTGCTGCTCTGTTTGTGGAGATTTCAACTCTCTCCAGAGGCCAGGTTTTGGAAAGTGAATTTGGTATAACTAGAATAATTTAAGATGATACAGCTATTCACTGAGTCCATCCCTCTTGGACTTCAGTTTCTCTGCAGTGGCTATAGCAGCCCATGAAGAAAAAAAGTGGTAGATGGAAAGGCTTTTCATTTAAAATTCATACGGAACCATATTTAATATGTTTGTCCCTGGATACTTGTTTGGAAGAAAGAAAGAACCCCTGGAATCTCTCAAACTCCAATTTGAATTTGGTAATGTGCTGAAGTACCTGTATGAAACAGTGTTTTTCTTGTTTATTTATTTTTACACATACACACAAGCAGGCTTGGAAATCTGTAATATATCACTCTATATTCTCCATCTATTTGATCACTCTTTGCTGGTAATGAAAAACTAATTATATTTGACTTTCCTTTTTGAGAGAGGCAAGAGTACTTTTCTAAGAGTGACCAGAATTTTTCAAGAATGTTTTAACCCCTCTTGGAGTCAAAACCATGTGTCCCTGAGGCCCTGGCTTGAGACCTTTTAAACCATGAGCTAATACTGTATGCATCTTTATACTGAAGTAATGGGAGGTCTATAACTGTTGTGGCATGGGCACATTGTCTCTGAGTATCTAAATGAAGCTGACCTTTTATATAATAATGTTCCATTGCTGTTAATAAAAAAGAGCATTTTTTTCAGAGATGAGAGTAGAAAGAAATATTACTATTACTTTAGTAAGATCTATGTATTCTAGATGCAATGAAATGAGAAAGGTCAAATTTTCTCTCCAATCTTTTTTTTTTTTTTTTTGTATTCTCTAACTTCTCACCCATCTTTGTTGTACTAATGAAATTAAGATATCCTTCATGATATAACTGTGAGCTAGGGGGATCTAAATTACCTTCATCTGGCATCATTCCAGTATACTATAAATGAAGTAATTGTCCTTGACTATAAAATTTGCATTTTCAAGACTTAATTGCTATCATTACATCTTTTTGTAATTCTATTAATTTAACTGAATGGAGCATTTGGTTTTATGGTAAAAATTTGCATTAAAGCATTGTACATCTAAATAGAATTTTAATATTTACGTCAAAACCTCAGTATAGTTGTCCCACAGGACCTAAATAATTTTACAAGAAGAGAATAGGAAGCAGTTTCACTTTAGGTCAACAAACAGGTTTTCCTTTGGTGAATATTAAAAAAAACTTGCTGTAACAGGCTTCGTGTGCTGAAAATCCCCCCTGCCTGAGCTCTGCGAAAGTGTTATTAATCTATGAATTCCATATTGTAATTCTTAACAGAAAATGTATTTGCCCAGATACAGTGTAGGTAGGATGTATGTTTGTTCTGTCAGGGAAGGATGTGTGCCAATGAGGAAACTCCTTCACCCTTTGAGCCCTTCTACCCCTGTTAGGTCATATGCTTTCCTACTGGTTGAGGAAGTACTGAATATGCAAGCGACACTTTCTCTGCAGTCTTATGTGTGCACGTAGTCATCTAGGCAAGACTCACCCTACCATGAAATTAATTAAATGGTCAGGATGTGAATATCTGTTGGGAAAATGTTTGTTTTTGCAGTGGACCTTCTTTGGTCATTACATAGTTAATACTGCATAGCCATTTAGACCTTCTTTTTTTATTTTTCTTCCTTCATTCTTTTCTGACAACACAAGGTACTTTGGTCATACAAAGACAGTGGACAAACGGTTAAAGCAGTGCGAGGAATCTGAACTGGCTGAGCATGTTGCAATTGTGATGACACCACGTGCATGTGGGGCCCAGTGGTAAGGTAAGGCTGTGTTACTGAGCGCACATAATCTGAAACTGAGTTCATCTTTTTGCAGTGGATATATGGGGTAGTCAGTGGACTGTGACCTTCACATTAGGTCTTTGGAGGCATTTAGGCCACTAGATCCCTTGGGAATTAGGTACCTTGTGGGTCCCACTCTGATAACATACAGACAGTCCCACTCAGGTATGTCAGGTAACCACTGACACATGTATGAGTAGAGAGGGTTTCATGTTGGTCAGAAAAGTCTAAGATATTTTCCATTTCGTGTTAATAGATATCATCAAGTTGTATAACATATTATTTATGGAAGTAATCAATCTGGCTTTGATTTATATTGAATATGCATGTTTTTCTTTCAAAAACATTTTTTTTTGCAACATCTAAGTAATATTTCACAAGAGATAGAGTCTGCTAGTGACAGAAATCTCATTAACTACTCTTAATATATGTTGTGTTTACTGGACTTCATAATCATTGTGTAATTAAGCTTCACAACTGGCTTGTGAAGCAGAAAAGATGAAGGATGTCTCCATTAAAGAGATTTATGGGATGGTGAAATTAAAGACAGATTTCTGAAAGTATATAGGTACCACTTTTTATTGGTTTCAGTGCCTAAATACCTCGTAGGGCCCTATGCTCTTGCAAAACTGTGTAGTAAGACCCTGGTGCCAGGCCAGACCCAAATCTGGGAGCAAAGGGTGAAGCCTCTATATGAAATCATGACTTTTGGCCAAGTGCCATAGTCATTTTTCCTTCTGCCCTTGTCTCTTGAATGGGAGTTACACTTACTCACTATGAGGACTCTGTGATGATTCAGGGTAGGCTGGAAATGCAATATAAAAGTGATAGGAGCAGGTAACCTGTTTCTTCTATAGCCATCTATAGATGCAGCATTTATAGAAAAACTTCAATGTCACAGATAGGGGTCAAAGGCCTGATAAGAGTTATAGCTCAGTGCTGAGTCTCTCAGCCTTACAAAGATCAACTCTGCTATGCCACTAGAGTCTGCTGTGTTGTTCTAGGCTTGTGCACAGGGTAAGAAGACTCACAGGGAATCTGCTTTACACAAAGACTGCATTTTTTCCGCTTCAGGGAGGACCTTGTGTGTGTTCTTTCCTAATGGGTGAATTTCATTTGATGTGAACATTATGCTAAGGCTGGATTTCTGGGCAGATTATATGATAGTGCATTAAAAGAAAAAAAACAACCCACCCTACCACCAACAAAAAAAGCCCAAATCCAAAACAAAACACATATTCTTTTGAAAAACCCAGGTCTAGCTGTTAGCGTCAATTATTTCAAACACCTACTGACTTTTCTGGCACATCTATCTCATTGGATCTTGGAAGTGATTTTATGTGCCTTAAGCATTTGATCACATAATCAGCTTCTGCATAGCTTCAACGAAGGATCCTGAGCATTGTCCTGGCAGATAGTCAAGTCAAACCTGACACAGAAACAAACATAAGGGAACAATTGTTGTCAAAACACATTGCATCACTTTGCATGCTAAAGCATTTGCTCTGGTAATCCACCATGCTGACGTGTCCCTCTGTTGATGCCATCTGAGCAGGGACTGTATCCTTAAAGTTGACATGTGCATCACATTATAGCAGTGATTTTGTTATATATCATTGGCATAATGGATATTCAGAAGAGATTCATAATCTTGAAAGGTGGCTTGAATCCACAGATCTCATCCATGTTCTGGTGACTCAGAGCATTTTGGAAACTCATTTTATAATATCTCACGCTGGCTTGGGCAAAGGCAAAGTAAATAGTCGCCTAGGGCAGCAGACTTGGGAGAGAGGCAGTCCAGGTCTCGTTTCCTACTCACTTTCTGCTAACTATGACAGGAGTACAATCCTTTAACCTGCCTCTCCACTGTCCCTCCCACTCCCCTTTCCAGTTTAATTCTTACGGAAATCTAAAGACATCTTTTTGCCTCCTCCCCGTCTCTTTTCTTACTCACCCTCCCTCTGAAACTCCTGCTGGTTTCTCCTAGCTTTTCTCCTCCAGGGAGATTCCACTGCTTGCTATTTGGGCTGTTTCAGGATTGTGGGAGGGCTCCCTGTCTCCTCCCATCATTGCGTTTCTTTCTGCAAACAGCTATTTATTACTCATTATTTGCAGCCTCTGCTGAATAGTCTCAGCCATCCTTGAGTTTTTGGTAGCATGAGCTATGTGTGCAATACAGTCCTGTGATAATTTGCTTGCTGATAGTTATTGCTTCAAAAGAGTTTTATCATACTGGGGAAAAATCCAGACAGATGTAAAAAACTTTGTTGAATTGCTTATGACTCATGAGATTAAATGAGACAAAAGTAAGATGGTGTCAGCATGTCATTGAATCCCTGGAAAGGTGTGGCTTGCTCCGTTGGTAATGCTATTCATGGAACACAAAATTAGATTGCAGAACTCATTGTCATGGGATGTTATAGAAGCCAAAAGGCATAACCGGCTTCAAAAGGGAATTAGGCAAATTGTTCTATCAACGACTGTCAAATGCAGTTATCTAGATGTAGCATCATGCTTAGAAAACCCCTAAAACACCGGTTGCTGGAAGATATTTGGCTATAGCAGGGCTAGGATCACCCTCTCCACGGACCAAGAGTTTCTGTTCTAGCTATGTTAAGGCTGAACTTTCAGTCTCTCTCATACATGCCTTGTGGTTAAGGTGAACTGCTGTGGACTTACTCATCTAAAAGTTAACGTCACTTGAAAGTGAAGTTAAAGGAAACCTGTTCCAAGCGGCAGTTAGTCCTGTCTATGTTGAAAACACTTTAGGATGAGATAAATTACCTAGATTAGATGTCCTGTACTTATGACTTATATTTTTTTTCCATTGAGCTTGATGACTTTGTCTGTAAAAATGAGCAGAGTTCAGAAAGAAGTTTGTTTTTCCAAGTGAGAAAGCAAGACCTCAGATAGTCTGTGTGGGTGTTGTTTATATCTGAACTCTGTCCTTCCACAAAGATTTATTTTTCCTCCGTGCCAAAGGTTTGGATTGCCTTAACTTGCTTGACTTGGCCAATTCCACCTCCTTCTGACATACATAATATGCTCTCGTTCCCTCAGCCTACACTGAAAGAAGCTGCAGAGTTGTACCACCTTTCTACAATGACAAAACAACAACCTTTCTTTGACCATAGTGCAAATTTCTGAAATCAGTAGACTGGCAATTTGACAAGCTGTGACAGAAGCCTCTGTAAGGCTTCTTGCACACTGGTGTATGCACAAATACCATACATAACATAGCAGCAGATCCTTCACTCATTTGACTTATTGTTTTTGCCTAAGGAGGTGGGGCTTACATATCTAGGAATATATTTGTTTGGGATTTTGCTGGACTCGTCTCAGATCCCTACTGGCAGTGATTGTTATCAAGACAGTTTTGTGAAGGGAAGCAAGGAACTGTGAGTAATTTGCTAAGTATGAGGCCAAACATGAGGTTTTAGCTTACTCCTCTCAAAATCTTAATTAGTACAAAACTTCCACTAAGTGTTGGGTACTCTTCAGGAGTCAAAATGGTTGTTGTGGTGGCATCTTGGCAGACGTTTTAGAAAGGATGGGGGAAAGTTCCCAGGGTGACAAATAATACACTAACAGTTGGCAATGACTGATGGCTCTGTGTTCTTTTAATGCACTTCAGGTAGATTTCAAGGAGGCTAAGTAAGCAAAACTGAGGATAAAATTGTGGCCTAGTGTCACTGGAGTTAATGGCAGCTTCATAGTGCCTTCTGGGTACAAGGAGGATTAGGGACCACATGTGCCATTGGGGTTCTAGCAGGACCTTGGATTGTGGCTCAGGGACGTTCAACTGGGGTTCAAGCAGACAGGGCTGCAGGGAACATAAGTGGTACAAGGAAGCATTATTTATTTTTGGCATCCAGAAACTATGCTTGCCATTTCAGAATTAGGTGAGCAGCAGGGCCTTAAAGCTCAGGCAGCACCATTTAACTTTTTTCTGTTCAACCTGAGGCTTTAGTGGGATTGGTATCTCGGATTCTTCTTTTTTATCCTTGTTCTCCATTCAGTCAACTAGAAATTGGACCCCATATCTCTTCTTCCTTTAAAAAATAAGTATCTGTAGATACACATCTTCAAAATAAACCTCCAAATATTTGGAGGCTTATCTTTTATTTATTGTATATATATGTCTATCTTTTCTCTATTACTTTCTAATCTCTTAAAAAATTTTCTTTTAGTGATAGGGTTGATAATTCTGCAGGTAATGAATTGGACTTTGACAGACACTCAGCAAAGAGCCTCTGGATGTAAAAATGAAACTACTGGTATGAAAAAAAATTATCTACTCTAACCACTGGAAGCACACAGCAAAAATCCAGGTTGCTGAGCAATGCCTATGTTGCAAAATAAGAACACAGTCTAAGTACAACAAACCCTGTGGTCCATGTGTCTTCATTCCCTCCTGGAGTCTGTCAACTGCTGTAGCTGAGACTTAGATCAATTACAGTACATATTGCTGATATCCCTGATGACAGACAGGCTTGTATCCTACTCACTCTCATCCATCTCAGCCACGTTAGCAGCTTCAAGGGTATTTAGGAGTAAGCAAGCCCAGCATTCTCAGCCCCAAATGACCTTCAAGAAATGTTACTTTTTTTTTTTTTTTTTTTTTTTCCTCTGTGTTTGTGTGTGGCAAGTGAGTCTATATAGGCACTATTAGTAAAGCTGGGTTATTTTGGATGCTCTGAAAGAGTTGATATGTAGTCAACACCACAGTTGACTCCACAAAAAGACATTCTGAATGAGGAAGTAGAATTTTTGAGATGTTTGTAGATGCAGACTTTTCAGTCCTTGATATTGATTTGTAGAGTTTGGCTTCTCATGAGTAAATTTAAGATTTGTGGAGATGGTTAGGCTCAAATAGCATTAATGCATCCGTTATTTATTTTCTTTTTAGCTGCTTGATCTGAAACTGTTTCTCAACAAAAAATTTTATACTAAATGTAATTTTCTTAATATTCTCTTCT